TTACAAAAATGTAAGAGTTATATTACACATGGGAACAAAATGGCACAATGGTCTATGAGGCCTGCATTGGAATGGTGAATATGAGAGAAGTTTAAGCTCAGATTTTTCAAAAGTTACTCAGTACCTATTAAAATTTCCAGCCTTCCTGGATGTGCATGCTTTGCTGTTTGAAAGCTGAGGTTCTTTTCAGGACTGATCCTTCAGAGGCTTGAGCCTCCACATAATGCTCCTCACACATCACCCTACTACAGGGAGAGCTCTTGTTTAAGTCATTGGACTTTTTACATCTTTTCTGACCTGGCTAAACACATCGAGGTATGGCCTGTGCATACCTTTCCAGTCACTAAAATTCTGCACTTTATTACTTTTAATACAGTAGCACTGCGAGGCCTCATTAAAAAAACCAAAAAACTCAGCCCTTTTGGTGCCAGGCCTTTGCTTGCCCTTCAACGGACAAGCTAGAGGCGAGCAGGGCAAAAAACCAACATGAGCCACCAGGCAGGACTAAGGCTTAATCCCCGGCTACTGTCTTAGATCCTATTGCCTCCCGCTTGAACTGTGTAGCCTCCTGCACACCAAAAACCTTTCTGTGAACTTAATGCTAGAACTACTGTTAAAAAAAACACAACAGAACCTGACTTGTTAAAAAATACCCCGGGGGGGGCAGGGATCCTCAACGCAGTTGTGTCTGTCTCCAGTAAACAGGACTTTTTTCAGGCCTTGGGCTCAGACATATGACCAATCTACTGCAGGTGAATGAATTACTGTCAGCTGGGCCATTTTCACTGAGGTGAATGCACAGGCATTTTATCTGCCATTTGCCAAGGGCTAAGAGCCTGCGCACGCTGGGCGCATACCGCCGCTCAGCTGGCACGCGGGCGCTTGTGTTACCCGTTTACCACCTCATGCAACAGTTTGCTCAGCGGCACTCATCTACCCTGATGGGTCACACTTCAGGACTAGGACCTGAGCCATTTCACCCCTCAAGGAACATCTCTGAGAGACACAAACCTGTTTCTAAATGAAGCAACGCTTATCTCATGCATGCCACAGGTGTGATGTCATCCCCTCTGGCGAAGGAACAAGGATGTCTACAGCCTCCACTGTGCAAAAATGCAGGAACTAAAGTTAACATGTCTCAGACTTTGTTAAAATATGGTGATAATTAAGAAATATAATTACCACTACAAAGTTAATTCCTCTTTGAGTTCTGACAAACAAGTTTTTAATTTGCACCAAAAATTTACATTTCAGATTTCAAGTCAACCACGACTGGCTACAAGCTTGGCAGGGGACTCAAGGCGGTGGCTGGCAGGTTCTGCCAGGCTTGGGGCAGGAGCACTGTGGCTTCCCGGGAATGTCACAGGAGAACGGTCACCAGCAAACCCCAGGTGCACACAGGTAAGCCGATCGGATTGCTTTAAACTGTCTCATCTGTTGTACAAGTGTGAAAATAATAGCCATGTCAGATAAACTTCAGCTTTTTATTAAAAAAAAAAAAGAACAACTTATAAGGTAATTGATTGTTTTCTTCTAGTCTTTTATTAGTTGTGATTAAGGAGATATAGTAGCCCTGTTTACACAGCTCTAACAAGTCAGGACCTGCAGTACGTTATTGGCTTGCGGCCCACAACTTGCAGTCCATTCTCAACAGAATCAATCTGAAGTTGAAAACATCCCCTGTAGGAAGCGTACACTTCCCTGCTTATACAGCAACAGAAAACAGTAATAACTTCAAGTCCTGTAAGTTGCAAGTTCAACTTACAGAGATCAGCCCTGACTTGTCATTGCTCTCAGCATGTTCGTGATGAGATCAGAGTGCTTCACGGAGGACTCATACTTTCAACTTGACAAGGGACATAGGTGAGCATGTTACACTTCACTGTTACTTGCAGCTCAGACTCTGCAGAAATAAATCGAGAGCTCCTCACTGTTTAACATGCAGTCAAAGCACTGCCAATCTAAAATGGCTGATCAGTAATACTTTAATTGCAGTTTCATAGAAACAAATTGCTATTTAATTGCAATAAGCTTGTCTGTGGCTTAGCTGGACTGACAATAGGCATACACCTGGTACTAAAAGTAACAAGCAGCAACAATGGCTATTTGGTACTTCACGTACAGGAGGCTTAGGCAGTGAAATCAGACCTGGTACACATAATGTCACACTGAAGAATCAGAATACTTAAAAAAATATATACACATAAAGGTTTGATCGCAATTTTATTTGTTATTTTAATAGAGTTGTTCAGAATGTAGATCTTTGCAAAAAGCCTCACACTTGACATATAACTACCAGCCAAAGGATTTGATAAAAAATTTAAATTAAAATGATCTTTCGAAATGCCTGATGGTACTTGATAGCAAGTCATACTATGCCAGTATGTGATTTTTTTTTTCCCCCCAGTATTTACCCTAAAATTAGATGATGCAAATTTTATCAGTGTTAACTAACAGGGAAAAAGGGAGACAAACTCAGTGTGGTTAATATTCTAAAGATGTGACTTAATTTCATAGGCTTCATTTTGGTAATCATTCTCATTTTATATTTCATAAGATACTGCATAACCTGTTAAAATATTTAAAGATAAATCATGTAGGACTGAAAAGACAGTATCTTGTTGCAAACAGAATTTGGTTTGGAAAGGCTTAATGTCCCACTGCCTGCCAGGATGCGTAAATCTCGTAACTAGACAGCTGGATAGGTAAAAACATTAAACCCATTTAGAGGGCAATCTTTTTACAAAATTGTTTCATTAATAAGAGTGACAATTTATATGATTGAGACGTTCAGATGCAGTATAGACACAGCATTTTATCCAGGTTCCGAGGATGATTTCAGATTAGTAATATTTCCTTTGGTTTTTTTTTAACAGCATTCATTTTTGAAAGTGAGGGAAGCTCTTACTGAATGATTATTTGTATGACTTTTCAGCAGCACTAAATGCAGAGGGTGTATTTCAGCCTCAGTGTAGCAAATGCATGTGATAAAAGGTGAACATGTTTTTCCTTACAGATCTCCTAAAAAAGTGATTTTTCACATAAGGACAAATCTAAGTGTTTCCAGTAGCCTTCTATCCACACCCACCGTCCCCATTAGAGCCTGTTTTATTGTCTGAAATGCCTCTGGTTTCAAGAAAGTGTTTTACCTAAAGCAAGAATACTACTTAAATATGTTCTATTGTATATTCATAGCTCCATTAGTCCCCCTCCAATTTAGCACATCAAAGCAAAGGCTTCATCACTTGCATGTGGATTATGCTAACATGAGTGACATTTGTAATCTTATAGGTCTGCAACTTAAGAAATGCTTTTAAAGTAAGCTATTAAATAGGTAGCTGTGCTTTACAAACGAGTCATATAATAGTTTATTTAAAGCCGTTAATGAACTTCAACCTCTATATCACTAAATGCTATACTACATTACTTACTAGAAGTTATTAGCTATCTTCTTAGCACTTCTAGGTTATATTGGACAACCAAAAATCTGTACATGTTAGATTTAAACACTGTACCTTGAGTGCTTATACTGAAAGAATATAAAAAAAAGATGTCTACGTCTCAATAATACTTGAATTCTATATTCATATGACTTCAAGTGTCTTTTCAAAGATACTGAAGCAGCACAATTTGCAGGACTCTATCTAAAGACTTTAATGCCAGATCAAAAAGCTTAGAAACTTATTTTAAAAATATGTAAGTGCATTTAATTAAAAAGTCATACATAGTTTCAGTCATTTTATTGCTTTATATGTTATGCAAGTATTCTTTTGTCTTTACTGTCTGATATGGTACATTATGACATTTTCTTTTCTCTGCGACAGTCCTATTTTTCCTCAAGCACTGAAGTGTTAACAGAAGAAATTCAGCAGACCTCCAATATACTAGAGGTCAAGAAGTAGAATCTGAAAAAAAAATCTGCTGTTGGTTGTTTAGACAGACAAATCTATAAATCAGCTTTTTGTGTATCAACGTCACAACAAAAATGAGTCAAGCTTACTCCGTAACCAAGCACGCTCAACAGTGAACACCTTCTCAAAAACAGAATTAAACAATAAAACATAATCATGATGTATTTCAAATATATTAGTCTCCTAGAAAAGTAGAGTAGTTGTTAATATTGATTTGTTATTAACTGCGGCACATTCTAGGTGCTTGCAGTTTCCTGACTGAAGACACACAATGCACAGCCATAGATTCATGTTAGTGTTCTTGCTACAAACACAAAAAGTCAAAATTTTTTCTCAACATTATTCTGCACAGCTCTACCAAAGTTGCTCCCTTTCTAAGCTTAGAGGCGGCTTTGTTGCTTGGGGGGGGGCAGTGCTTTTTGTTTGTTTGCTTTCAGAGAACAGATTATATTTGAGATCAGTTAGTTCTCGGAAATAGCCTGGGAAACATGTTTTTCTCTCCTTATCAGTGTTGAAAAGTTAGTCTCTTACCACAGCAAACACAACTTTATGTTGTTCAGATCAGAAAGGCTATTGTATTTCTTTTTATGAATACTCAATTCTAGTGCTCAGCATAAGGTATAGACCTTTTGTTGTTTTTCATTTTATTATTCTTCGACCTCTTATGGTATATACATACTCTCATACTTGCACACTCACAGACATGTGCACACCCTTAACACAGATGATTCTGCGAAAGGAAGTGGATAGAAAGAGACCACAATACCTATATGTGTACCATAATTCACTGCAATATGAATTATAATATACTTGCTGTTACCAGAATTAAGAATCCCAATGAAAAATAAAGATCATTTTGAAGTAGTGCTCTGTATCCTTGCCAAAAGTAACACGGTTAAGTAGTTTAACAGATTCTTTACTGGCATATGACAAAAAAGCTGTCCAAACCAAAAAGCTACTTTTAAAGGTAATTGACAATTAAGGTAATGACTACGTAAGATATACTTTCATAATAATGTTTTGAATGTAGCTTTAAAAAAAAAAAAAAAAAAGCAAAGCTTCTAAAACCCATACTCAATTCAGTGTTGTTTGTTTTACTTTTTTATTATTTAAATACACCATACTAGAGCAAATGTCTCTGAAAATATCACAAATAAAAGATTTTTCTTCATTCAGCAAATTAGAAGTAGGTGAAAATTTCTACACAGTAGCTGCTATGAGCCTGACTTTTTTTTTTCTTTTTTTTCTTTTTTTGCCATGGGAAGTAGCAACATTAGGACAAAAACACTTACATGCATACATACATTGTATTTTACAGAGATACAATAAAAGTGTTTGTGATAGAATATCACAAAAGCCACATCTTTATCTCATGTTCAGTTTGATTGAAACACATTTCCTTACAACACTTAAATATACAAAGAGCAAATAGAATGTTGTTAAGGTAAAACACAGGGTACAAACTGGCCAGTGCCCTGCTAATTGTTAATGAGGGTAGAAAGCAGATTCAATGCTTCTTTTAATTAGCTTCATTAGTCATCTTCCCCCCCCGCCCCCCCTCCCCCCCCAAGATGTCCTCCGGTGGATCTTTTTTCATTTTCTCTACAGTCTCCCATTAGCCCAGGTTCATGGAGTCCTTAATGTTCATATTCAGTCATTTTAATACACCAATAAATGTGGGAAGGGCAATCAAGAATAAAGAAGGTGCAATGGTATGGAGCTGGCATTGATGCTAGCTACAAAGGTGACTTGTCTACTTGGAGACATGGGATCCATCTGTGATGAACAAAATTTGAGATGAAGGCACGCATTCTGCATTACTCTGACCTTTTAGCAGACCTGTAAGAAATAAAAATGGGTATCTTAGCTAGAATACTAAATTTGAGATAGGAAACTACAACATGACTGCTTTTGTCTTTTCCTTATTCACTAATCTCTTTTTTATTAGATTGCTTTCCAACTGTGACTTGATTAAGGCTTTCTACACTATCCATTCATACTGCTAACGTTTCAACTTCAAATAGCAAAAAGCAAACATTTTCCGCAGTTTCACTACTAAAAAGAGCAGATGGGGGCGGGGGAAGAGACAACGACAATAAATAAGTGTACTTTCTGGTAACAAATCGTACAGTGAATAAGGTGGTTTTCCTGGGCCCCTTTTAAAAGGGAAGAAACATTATGCCATGCCTTTGAAGAAGCTAGTAATATGATCTTATAATTGGAAGAAATAGTGTGTAAAGCAAATAAGAAGTACAGCCAATATCCTCCCAAGGCAACTTTGGTTAATATACTGCATTGCACAAGGGCTAAATATAGATATTTCAGGATTTTTCCCCCCCCATTTAAAATTCCTCATCTGGTGTGTTAGTTAATGTTACATAAATATTTTAATGTATGTAGTCAAACGTGCTTTCACACTGGTGTTAATGAATTGTGATAATTAAAAGTGTCTAACTCAATAAAAATCTAAACTTGCATGGATAAAATAGAAATGATCATCCATAGTCTTCAAATACAATCTGTTTGCAATTACCAAAATGAAATAATATATATTAGATTTTTATGGTTTTTTAAATGACATTTTGCACTTCCCAGGAAGTTCTTTTTTCACCCTTTCTCTAAGTTACTAAAAGCCTGAGGTCTATTAGTAACTGCAACCCCCCACTTTCAAGCTAATTAAAGTAGTAGAGGCTTGGAGGTTTAATTCCCCAGAGCTGAAGCTCAGTGTGAGAAAGGTAATTTGTCTGTCCAGAACAAAGATTAGGGAGCAGCCAGCAAGCATATTTAATAAATGAGCATCAAATATCTTCTAGTATGGACACAGACAACACCAATTATGTAACTACAAGGGAATTGTTGAGTGATATGTAAACCAGAAGATTTTTAAGATCTTCTCTGAGAGACGTAACCTAACTCATACTTTATTTAAAAGTATAGAAGCTGAAGACAAGCGTTTGCCATGAACATTGCCAGCCGGTGGAAAATTTACACTTTTATAGTAGGTGGTAATACTGTTGCAAACAAGAAATAGTACAGGAATACAACCACTATCAAAAAAGCATAGAGAATTCCTGACAATACGGCCCCTTCAAATGAAACGGCACACAGGACATCACAAACTAAAAGTTTGCATTCTGCAGGCAAGCAGTACCGAGTTTAAAGAAAATAGGTTTTTTTCAAACTACATAGCAAGTGATGGGAAGTTATAATTTACATATGTGAATTGCCTCAGGGAGGCAAAAGGCAGGGATAGCCAACATCACTGCATTTGCCGCCTTAAAAAGAAAAGCAAGTTTTTAAACAAAGTTAGGTCACGCAGGTTGCTGCCTGCACCGATCACCAATAGGTATTAACCTGTAAACTATATTAAGGCAATAGTGAGCTCGTAACTGTCACCTTCACATACGCAACAAAATGTCTTTTAATGCTGGGGGTATGTCTCAATGCCTTCTGTTTAATAAAAAACCCTGTGAATATTCTGCTATGTCTATAATCTCTAGTGGTAGAATAACCTGGAGACTGATTGATCTTTAATGTTTAATAAAAAGTATCTGGTTACAGCCAACTCTGTGATAGTGAAAGAACATTTTTAATTAGTGGCCCTAAAACACACAGCTTTCTGGAAAACATTTCAGATGTAAACATCTTTAGACTGTTAAAAAGCCAACATACAAAACACAACTCTTTTGGCACTGGCCCCCGTAGCTTCTAAAACTCCAGAAACCTGACAAATCTATGAATTATCAACTTGTCTCCTCAACTATATTTCAGTTTTCCGGGGTTCAGGTGCTCCGCAATTCCCCTTTGAAAACTGGTAGAACTTACACCGTCTTCTGGAGAGACTGTATTATAAAGAAAAAAACACCCCAAACTATAATCTCTCCCCCCCCAATCTTCTCCCTAATACCTCTTCATTTGCCTCATCATTGACTGTAGCAATGCAGTTAATAGTCGGTGGCAGGAACTAATAAAAACCTGTTCTCACTATTTTCTATGCATTTAGCTTCTACTAAGTGTCCGCGGTCATGAGCTCTGCAAGCCCAGTCCAATTTTACTTCTCTTTTCCATGTTCTATGTTCCTCATCATGTCTACTGCTTTTATTGCAACTAAATCATTTTTATGTTTTGCTAAGGCATAGTAAGAAACTGATAAAACTAAATGACAATTTAGACACCTATTTGAAGTTACATTAAACTTTACATTCGTAGAAGACAAGTGGATAAACCACTCACTCAGAATGGTAAACCTTTTACTGCAGTGTATAAAGATGAATGGTTTTACCTATATTTTGAAATGGGATACCTACAAATATTCATTTAACAGATTCACTGCTAGCTAGTCTATATTACAGATTTGTTTCATTAAAATTCACAACAGTATAAATCTATGAATCTTTAACTGTATTTGTACTTCCTTGAGAAGAGGCTGCACATTCTCCTCCAATCTTAATTATCTTTGTTCTGCCTAACTATATAGGACTTTTGTACTCAACTCTCTCATCACCTTGATAGACAAATTAAGTAAATAAAAAAGGTCCATGTTTTATTTTGATGTAATTACATTCGCTGTATAAGACTTGAAAGAATACTTAAAATTAATCAGTAAATTTATGCATAGAAAAAAAAGCAAACACAGATATTGAAATGTAGCAACACAACAAAAAAAATCATGGAAATTAAAAACCAGTTTGTGTTTTCTTGGACGTATTTCTCCACTAAGTAAAAGCACTAAAAAAATATTCTCTACATTATGGAATAGATCAGCCTAGCATTTGTCCCAGATTTTTTTAATCTTCCAAATTCCTATTTGCAGATAAATGTTATTTTTTGTGATCCTTACAGACATTAATGAAGTTCCTATTGTAAATCTATAAAGAATTACCAACTGAAGTGTGCACTTTTTGTTTCATTGCAATAACTCAGTGCTGTGTGATTGCCTGGGTTAATGATGAAAAAGTCAAATATACTATCAGAGCTGATGGAAAAATCTATCACCAATCTGAAATTAAAATTCATCTGTGGTCAATAAGATTTAATATCCATGCAAGTGGCGCTGTAAAGAGTAAATGAATCAATGTCATCAATACATAATCAGTATGAAATATGATGTGAATAAAATTATGTGCAAGAGTCATACATTCACTCTTTTCTGGACCAGGGTGGAATGAACAGTCTCTTAACTCAAGGTTGACAGTAATTGTTACAAATTAGGCACAGCAGTTATCAAAATGCACTCACTTGCATAGCTTTAGGACTTATTAAGGAGATTAAAATAGATCTAAAACTATCTAGTTTCAGAGTTACAGCACAACTGTTGATCAGAAATTTTTCTTCTTTCTTCTCTATATGATTTGTACAGTCATTATTTACTCATTTAGCTAGAAACCAAGAGCTATCAACCACAGAGATATACAATCTCTAGTTGAGCTATTAGTGTTATGGAGTGATAAGAAAATAGCACTTTGGTTTTTATATCTGAGTTATGACATACTACATAGACAAGAAAATACTTCTGAAAGAGTACCCCAGCATGCTTCCTCAACTAAAACCTTAATATTAAAGTGAAATACATTGGTTTAGTTCAGGAACCTGCTCTTCGCGAGACATTTATTTCCATATTAAAGGATCTAATTTTCCTCCCACAGAAACCTGCTCTCTTGTAGCCCTTAATTTCAAGATTATAAAATAAAATACTTCTCTTTGTTAAGAGTTTATATTAATGTATGCTCTCCATTTCGCTTTGTACATAAAGAGTTCAACAGCTGTACAGATGCACATGCCCAAACCAAAATAAACTGACTCACCCTATATGTCATATTTAAAAGGTTAGTATTTTCTCCCCATACCCCATGCCTAAGTTATTTAAGGTAAGTTCGGTTACTTAAAGGTCTCCTTGCAGGGGTGGGGAATGTCTCCTATTAGAATGAAAAGAAATTGATCTTCATTTAGCTCTAATAAAGCTTATTAGTAATAGTTGAGTATTCACCTTCTGGTCTGGCAGTAGTGGATTACTCTGAAGTGAATTCAAATGGCCATTGATGAGAGCTGTAGGTCTATCATGTTCACAAAATAAACTGCCATTGATGTAGTGAAACCGATCTCCGGGGACCAGGCGATTCCGGCAGGTAGAGCATGTAAAACACTGAAAAAGGAAAGAGACAGCAAGTGAAACTACAGCACAAATTAAGTACGCTGCAGGTTTGAAAATTACACTTCAGAGACTGCAAGTACAGTTGAGATATGGAGCTGCTTGGTTTCTAGCATCTCCAAATATGGCATTAGTCTTACCTGTTGGGACTATGCAGTACATAACTCAAGTATAGTTTTACCGATTACGAGGGAACAAAGCTACACACTAAGGGAAGCTTTATAATATATACTCATATTTCTAGTTATTGCTTTGCATTTCATTCATAAGCAGATGCAGATTTTATACTAAAGCAGCAGAGCAGTACTAATCAGCTACTAAAAAAAATACATAGAAAAAACCCCTCACCTTAAGATGATAGACGTTGCCCTGTGCCCTCATGACCAGCTCACTGGCAGGAATGGACTGTCCACAGGCACTGCAAGCACCACTGTTTCCAAATAACCTGAAACAGAGGTGATGATCATGAATAATTTAATACACAGGAGGCTCTACGCATTTTTGCGCATCACTGCAATGGTTTATTACACAACTATTTTAGACTTCTGACCCCCGTCTTCCAACTTGCTTACGTGTTGTAATATGAAAAAGTATGTTTTTGTGTAGCAACTGGTAGCTTCACCCTACCTTGGATGTGGTTACACAGGATTTAATCAGAAATATTGACTTACACCTCTAGAAACACAAACAATTCTGTACTACACACGTTTTATCAGATTACTGGGTTCATCATAAAAAAAAGATACAATTCATGACTGGAGTTTAAATGCATTGTGTCCTTGAAATTATATGAAGAACTCTTTTGTACTTTAATCATATCTTGAGATATGAGTCATCAAAAGGGTTAAGAGGATTTGATTGTATATCTAAGAAGACATCATGCTCAGTGTATTGAAACTCCAGTAAACCTCCATCAGTGCAGTTTCCATTAGAAACTCTCTGCTATCCAGGTTGATATATAATGTGTATGGGTTAACCTTTTCAATCATGGTGTCAACACTTTAGATTTGCCTCTGCTCATCTCTTTCATCCTAACCTTCTCTCTCTCTTGATAATGAAATGCTTGCTCCAACTTCCCTCTATCTGCTCCTGAGTCCACAATTTAGATTACTTCATCTCTGCTAGCAACAAACTGAATGAAATTTCGATTTGAGCAGAAAGTAATTTACCGGGATCTGGACCCATTTGTCATCATATCTCTCTGGGTGTTTGCTGTATCACTGCAGTTTTCCTATGCAATCAAATGAGACCACAACATCTGCCATTGGGGGGGGCACCCGCAGTGGGGGGAGGGGGGAAATAGGCAGAAGAGTGGTGAAGAAAAATATATACATAATTCTTCAAATCCATTTAAAGGCACAACGCATCGATTCAAAATATAATACAATAATGATCATTGAGTTCTACTTTTACAGGCTGCGTTCGCTAGAATTAGAAAACCTTTATTTGCTTTTGCGTGTGTCTCTAATACACACAAATATTTATAAAGACTACCACAATCATTTTGCAGGGAAAAAGGAAACTGAACTAGCTGGCAGGGTCACAGACCCGCTTTTCTGCACGATGTAAAACACAGTAATAGGATTTACAAATTAGCGTATTGGTGTCATAATAAATATTAATATTTGCGTCTCCTTCCTGTCCAAATAAAGTCATAAAATTCTGTTTGTGTCAACCTAGGAGACGCATTACAACAGAATACCCGTAATCTGAATGATTGCAGTGTGCCTCTGTACAAAAATAATTGCTTTGAATTTTCAGAATCTGAGCTTGCAGAGGAGCCTTGTCATGTTCAAACTACTAATTTGCTGTCGCCACTTTATTGAAAATAGCCTGTAAGTTGTTATTAAATGTATCGACTGAACGACAGAGAGAGTAGTAAAACTGCCCCTTAAGATGGCTTTTAATAGGAAGCTGAGAAACAAATTTTGCAGCAGCATCGATTTGAAGAGTTCAATCAAAACTCCATTTCAAAACTAATTAGTCTGAGATCCACGACACATTGACATGGTCTTGCAGAATCACAGTGGTTACAAAGGGAAAGCTGAACTAATACATTGTCCGGACCTCCAGCCAAAGGGACTAAACTGTCTGGAAACTAAGGGTCCATTATTAGGGCATCTTCTAAATCAGGACCAGTTCTGAGTAGTTACATGATGTATTGAGGTTACTTCCAAAGCTTTACGATACGCATTTTTCTTCCTCCATTGCTACTAATAATGAAGTTGGCACGTAGAAAAGGTGCACGGGAAGCACTGCAAGAGGCGGCAGCAAGGCACTGTTACATTTCTGGAGCAAAGATCCAACAATCTAGGGTAAGGGGGTGGTGACAAGGGCATTGCTGGGTAGGGTGGAGGAAGAAAGGCAAAGATGAGCAGGCAATGTTACTTGTCTGGGAGAATCTGAAGCTGGTAAGCGGTCTCTCGCAACCCCCCGTACAATTGCACCACCCAACTGAAAACATAGCTTTCGGAATACTGATCTCATTGCGCTACTTGTCTTCATTAAGCATTCATTTGTTATACAATTGTCTCTGACTAGAAGTGGTCGCACACCTTGAATGTCTGTGAATTCTAATAAATGCAGTCAAACTAATCCAGAGGCTTTCCACACACCTTAGGTTTTCCCTAAGCGTGTTCCCAAAACAACTCTGTTTTGGGAAGTCACTTCAGCTGAATCTTCTGCTAAAATTCCTAAAAATTACTTGCAAAGTCAGAACACCTTTCTGCTGCTTTGTATTATTTACCAGGAAAATTAAGCTTATTTTTACTTCTCTACTGTTATGAATGGTTTTGTTCTGTAATACCATTAACAGGAAAAAGGTTTTATCTTTTAAAAAAATGTTATTCCTCCTTACCAGTAAAGGAAGTCTTCCACAGTAACTATTCTTTACTGAAAAAGTTGTTTCACATGGTTTCTGAGAGGCTGGAGAGCTAATTATCTAACCAGGGGGACTGTCCAGGACAGTATTTGATTTAAAAGGCTTGAGGCTTTAGGTGCTCAATTAAGTAGCTATCGGTCTCAGACTGGACTTTAATGGGCTCTTTTCTCTTTAACTGCAGCAATGGGTAGAGATACCCCAGGTCAGGCTAATTAAAGCCAGGGGACTCTTTAATTGTGATGACAGAATTGGTTTCAGTTTCCTCTTTGGGTCCTCAGTCCAAGAAGGTCATTAATATTTCAACATTTGGGCAATGCAATCAATCACAAACATCAAGAGGTTCCCTGTACGGACAAGGCAGCTCTTCTACACGTAGCAGCATTTTACTGAACCACCTTAAATTAACTACTGTGTGGTTCCAGCACAGCATTCCCCACACCCCCAAACACACAAACGCTCCTGGGGTTTTTGGGGGTTTTTTTTCAGAACTTTCACAAGAGTGGGAATGAAGGCAGTAAGGTATCTTTTCAGCCCAGTTTCCCGTTTTGCTGCTCAAAATTCACTATCAGCAGAAACACATCTCTAGCAACTTATACTAACAAAATAAGGTTCCAGTTGTTTCCAAAATTGTGGAGACAGATTTAAGTCCTCTGATTCTTGCACAACACGGGGCACATTTGTGCCCACAAATATATATCCAAACCCTAGCAAAGAGAAATGCACATCCAGACCTACTGATCCAGAAGCGATTGGTGTTTCTGTACATTCCCTATATTTAATCTAAATTCCGCACCAGCTATATTAAATGTAACAAAGAAAGGCAACACAGAAATTACGCCTGGAGCCAAGTCCATTAAAGGTACTTCAGAATAACTAGAGACCAAGCACCTTAAAAGCACCAGAAGCTATTGATACTTAAAAGGGGGGCTGTGCATAATGGCAAGTGCTGCATTAGAGAAGGGGAAGGAAAAAAAAAAAAAAAAAAAACCAGCCAAATTACGCTTGGTTAATTCAGAGTAACAGATCTGCCCCCAAGTGAATTGGAGGCCTTGAATTAATTCTGTTATGACAAATCAAGATAAACGTTCCCCCTAAATTGCATGCGATTTAATTAATTTTTGAGATCCTGGGTTTTTTTTTTTCCTAGCTAATAGTTCACATGCTCCTGTGCTGTCATTGTGCTTGAGTGGGCAGACTTCAAAGTGATATTAAATAACCAACTATTAGATTTACCTAGCACGTCCTATTGGAAAAGTGCCATTTAATTACCTAGCCTGTTCAATTAAAGGGACAGCATTCCCTGAATATAGCAGCTTGCCGCTGATTACCAGGGAAATGAACTCGCTGCCTGGCGGCCCCCTCCCCGGCGCGGCGCGGCGCACGCT